TGAGTCACAATATTACACGCTTTCACATGAAGCTGATATAGCAATTTGAATGCATAGAGAAGTGTAGAAAAAAAGTCACAAGCCCACCATCATTTGGTGACTCGGGAGTAATATAAACTCCAAACCACTGTTTTGCTAAGGCAGAGGCAAGTTTAATACGTGTATCTATTGTCTGCAAAGACAGTTGAAGATCTATCAGATTTGCGAATAAAGGAACTAATAAGATGACAAAACATTAAGAGAGAAAGAAAACTTTCTGTTAAACAAACATAAGTGAAACATTCTACAACAGAAGCCTATTCCAATGAAGGAGTGAAATGCAAGTAACAGATGAACTCAGCTAGCAAAATCATATGAGGTGATACAAAATACATTTAACGTGTTCAGTTACATGCTTTGTTGTACTTTTTCAAAAATGCACCATACAAATTCTAGTTTACTGTGCCTTCATTATAATATTTACATGTACAAACGCCTTACATGCATGTGTCTGTTAAACATCATGATCAATGACCCTCTTATCACCTCGTATAGTAAAAATCTTTACTTGCATCTACCTGATAAATTTCAGGTCTGATACACTATCTACTAGCCAATGTAACAGGAAACAATACCTGATCTATAACCCTCTCATCGTATAGCATGTGCGAGCTAAAGATACTCAAGGAAGCTCCCAGAGTCGAAGAGCAAACAACCATTTCAGGAGGTAAAAAGACTTGCTTGTAGAATCCAAATGGAAATTTCGCGCTTAAATAATCCTCATAATAGCTGTAGAAGTTGATTGTCCAGTAGAAAAGAAATTATACTTAAATTCAGTTTGACTACGAGATGTTGCCAAAATACGAATTCACTGACCTATAAGCTTCATGGAAAAATTCCATTGTATTACGAAGCCTCGAGAGATCATATGGCAAACACAAGTTAGATATGAGAACGTTGGTCTGATCTGGAAGGACTTCTAATGGTCCCACAACTAAAGACACCCACCGTGGAGCAATAGGAATAGCTAGTTCGTAAACATATGTTTTTCGAGTAGTATCTTCCTTGCACATAACCTGAAAAGTGTGAAAGTTTAATGAAAAAACCCTATCCACCTTGTAAAACATATTCCACAGATTTTTAGCTTTTCAGATAAACATAACAGAGGAAGAAATCTTCCGTTTGATCTAGATTCATAAGAATGCTGTACTGAAACAGAAACAAAAAAATCTAACAGTAGATGGACGAAACAATTAAAAATTTCCAGGTTTTGCAATGAGAGCTAGTTAGTCTTCAGGTTAAAAGGGCCTTGGATATGGTTTATATCCTATAGAAGCTGAATCCAAATTTGGGCACACATTTTATGACTACGTCCGTAAGTCATGGGAACCACAGCTTCTTTATAAGTGTTTCCATTCAGTACGTAAATTCCCATAATCTATATGTAATATGTCTTGCACATAAAACACCAGATCGAAAAAAATAGTCATTCCTCTAATCCATTAACATATGAAAGATATACCAGCTTACCTGGTAAAGTAATTTCCCAACACTGACAGCCACAAAGTTGTGTGGAACAGTGAATTCCAAATCGAAACTGCATCCACCACAAAAATAAGAAAATTAAACCAGTTGGGATGCCAACCCTTGATCTCAACAGAAAACAGATGACAACAGTGATACATCTTTATAAACGAATACCTGCAACGATGATACTCATCGTCTATGCAAGGAAACCAACAACGGGCACGTCTCATCTGGTTATCGGTATGTACAATATTCCCATCAAAATGAATTCCTGACTCTATTTTCTCTACCCAGTAGTTGATCCGAATCGACTTAACATTCTGCATCATATGAGCATACGTAAATAGTTAACAAAGGACAGCTCTCACTTGTACCTCATGGCAGAATATATGAGAATCAAGAATAGCACAAAACCATCAATAGCTACCATGTTCACCGCATTAGTTTTTCCATTTCAGTAGCAATATGGTTAGTTCTTATCTAGCATTGATCAAGTCCGAGAATAGATAGTCTGGTGTTTGTTATCTTTGCTCCACAAAAGAAATATAGGTGACTGAAGAATAAGCACAGCAAAGGTGAATACTAGGCCTAAGTACCTATAAACATGTTGCTTTTAGTATACACACCCTAATTTAACCGTGAAACAACCATAGGTTTGACATCTATACTTCAAACCACATAAACGCAATTAAACTCAATTGACGGAGAAAAACAAATAGATGAAGAGAATCGGAACAATGACCTGTTTCGCCTCCCCAGACGATTGTGAACCATTTTCTAAAGTCACATGATCCAGCTGTTCAGATAAATCCTTAGAAGGCTTGCAACAGTTGATCAATAAATTTGCTGTGTCCTCTCTCTTAAGAACCCCGACATATTCAATGGCCGCGGCATCAGCTGCTGAAGCAGGGTCAGAGACCGAGTTCCAGTTACTCTCAGTTTCAGAGTTCTGATGGTGCGGATAGTACTCAAACACAGTAGGTTCCCCATCTACCAAGACACTCTCGATTCCCAAGTTCTCTGCGTGTAGACCCACAATCCCAATATCTGGCACGCTTACTTCTAACTCTGTGTAACTATCAAAACCCAAAAATATACCATGAAAATCCAGTAAAGAATGAAAAACACACACAATCTAATTCCTTAAGATTGGTGATATACTCCGAATAATCAAAAAGCAGGGGATTTGAAGCAGAAACACCCAAAAGATCAAATCAATGCGAAATTCAAATTCTGCTCATAATTAGGGTTTATTCATCGCGAATTGCAATTAGCAGAGCAACAATTCGTGAATGGAGAATCGAAAGAAAAAGAAGGCAACGGACCCGTAGATTTGGCGTTTTTTGAAGTCGATAGTAAGAAAGAGCTTCTGGTGAAGAACTTTGGCTCCGGTGTTCTCCGAAGTCTTCGCGCCAGGAGCTTCTTCGTTCTTCGGCTTCCTCGCCTTCGCCATGGTTCCTTTTTCCGACGAAACGTTTAGCCAGAGAGCAACCTTATTTTATCCATAATACAGCCATCGATGGGTCGGTTCCTCATTAATTACAGAAAACTCCTCTATGTTTTGAAATTATTAAATCTTTATCTGTTATTTTCCAATGTATCATCATCTTACCCGTAAAATGCGCATGTTGTCATGGGCTAGTTAAAACATTTTTAAGCTGGGCCCATTAATGTTGGGTTTCCTTTCTCTCGACTCTTCTTCTCTCTTTTTATTTATTTTTAATCTTTTTGGTAAAGAAAAAACTTCAATACTCTTTAAACCCATATTTGAAAAATCAAAAAAATGGTTTTCAATAACGAGAAAATTTCAGTATTCCTTAATCTCATACTCTTCGGTTAAAAACCGCGTTGTAATCGATACCAAAAACAAAATTTGAATTAAGAAGTTTAAATAACATAATTTGTAGACGGATTCAGATAATGTCACTAAACTATAAACGCTTGATTGATCATATTTTCTAATATCTTTTTTTTTTAACATTTGAAATTTTTTATTGATCAAAATTTAAAAAGGTAATTCATCATGTTCAATAAACTATATATTGAATAGCAATACTGCAACATTTCATTCTCATAAACTTTTTTGGATAAAAAATCAGCTGCTTGGTTTCGTTCTCTTCTCTTCTTTCGTGTTATTATTTTTTGGTTGTGTTTATAAATTTTTTTTGAGGTATCAAACCTTACATAAAAAAAAAACTATAATACACTTTAAGAGGCTTAACAAGTCAGCCAACTCCCAATTCACGAGGCCCTCCTGAAATGATAAACAACCTTGAAACGAAACGAAGACAATGGCTCTTGCCTCTTATACAAACTAGTAAAACATCTTATATATTGAAACAAATAAAAAAAACTTAAAACATCTTATATAATAGGATGGAGGAAGTAATTAAC